GATAGGAGTTGAAAGGAACCTCTGGAGATCACCTATTCCAAACCCAACCTGTTACTAATCTTCTGTGTGTTTGGAGATGAAGCTGCAACCCATAGTCCAGGAGTGATGAAAAGAGACTCCAGACCCTTGGGCCAGTTGGTGAGGGAGTTTGGGTCACAGGTTATTTTTTCTCCTCTGTTTCCAGTTGCAGGCTGTGACATTAGAAGAAATAAACAGACCAGATCTGTTAGTTCATGGCTCTGTGCCTGGTGTTGCTGCCACAATTTCAGGTTTTTCATGAATGGGAGGGCCTACATGGCACCAGTCTTGCTGTCATCAGGTGGCATTTACCCTTCTCAAAGGGGGAAGAGGATCTTTGCTCAGGAGCTTGCAGGGCTCATCAACAGGGCTTCAGACTTGAATGGGGAGGGGGATGATGTCGGGCTTGCCTGCGGCAAGCTGTGGGTTGACACACTAGAGGGATGGAGTGCTAGTGAGCTTGCCTTTCAGTACTTAAAGGGACCTTTAGAAAGATGGGGACAGGCATTTTAGTAGGGCCTGTTGTGGCAGGACAAGGAGTAATGATTTTAAACTAAAAGAGGATAGATTTAGACAAGATAGAAGAAGTTTTTTATAGTGAGGATGATGAAACCTTGGAACAGGTTGCCCAAAAAAGTGGTAGATACCCCATCCCTGGAAACACTCAGAGTCATGTTGGTTGGGGTTCTGAGCAATCTGTTCTGTTTACAGATGTCCCTGCTCATTGCAGAGAGGTTGAACTAGGTGACCTTTAAATGTCCCTTCCAACCAAGACCATTCTATGATTCTCTGAACTTAATAAAGGTCAGCAAAGGCAAGTGTAGGGTCCTGCACCTGGAGAGGAATAACCCCCTGCACTAGTATAGGTTAGGGGCTGACTTGCTGGACAGCAGCTCTGCAGAGAAGGACCTAGGAGTTTTGGTGGACAACAAGTGAACTGTGAGCCAGAAATGTAACCTTGTGGCCAGAAGGCCGGGGATGTCTTGGGGTGTGTTAAGAGTGTGGCCAGCAGGTCAAGGGAGGTTCTCAGCCCCCTCTACTCTGCCCTGGTGAGGCCACATGTGGAGTCCTGTGTCCAGTTCTGGGGTCCTCAGTGGAAGGGAGACAGGGAACTACTGGAGAGAGTCCAGTGGAAAGCTGTGAAGATTGATTAAGGGACCAGAGCATCCCTTTTACAGGGAAAGGCTGAGAGCCCTGGAGCTGTTCAGCCTGGAGAAGAGAAGGCTGAGGGGGGATCTTATCAAGGCTTATAAATATCTAAAGGTGGTTGTCAAGAGGTTGAGTCTTCAGTGTTGCCCAGTGACAGGACAAGGGGCAAAGGGCACAAACTGGAACACAAAGTTCCATCTGAAGATGAGGAAGAACTTCTTTACTGTGAGGGTGATGAAGTGCTGGAAGAGGCTGTGCAGAGAGGTTGTGGAGTCTCCTCCTCTAGGGACTTTCAAAACCTGCCTGGACACATTCCTGTGCAGCCTGCTCTGTGTTGTCCAACCCCCTTGCCAAAGCAGGTTGAGATGATCTCCAGAGGTCCCTTCCAACCCCTTCCATTCTGTGACTGTTAGGTGCTGTTTCAGAGTATTTCTGTAACTTGCTTTTCCTGTATTAGATGTGTCGTTGTCTGTGAAATTTGTACTTCTGGTTTTGCTTTATAAAATCTAGTTTGAGGATTGTTTCTGTATTTATATCAAGTGAAATCAAATTGACAACAACCTTTTGAGCATGTTTTCTTGTTTTGGTTTTACTGTAGATTCTGCAGGTGAGGATGTGTGCCTTGTATATGGAATGCCTGATTTGGAGAGCAAAAAAGGCTCAGGACACTTTCTTTGGTGTCACACAGCTCCTTATTTTAAATAGCTACTTAAGACAATTCACTAAGTACAAGACTCATGTCTTGTAACATCAGGCTTGATAGCAAAAGATTGGTATGTAGTGACAACTGTTAGACAAGTGTCAAGTTCCCTGGTAAATGAGAAACAATTGGAAATCATGGTAGTGTCTGGTAGCTGAACTAGAGGGAATAATTGCCCAGTGTTTGTATTCTGTCCATGTGAAACCTTGATTTCTAGCTGAGTGTTGAATAAATCATCTTCTCTAGCAGATCTTCTTCAACCTTTTCATTCCATGCCAGAACAGATAACTTGAAGACTTGTAAGAAGAACATAGCATAGCTCTCAAACACAAGAGCAATTTAAATTCTGGCATTTGTCAGTTGATTTGACTTAGACAGGTGATTTTTTTAGAAGAGTAAGTTACATGATGTGCAGTCTCTTACAGAGCCACGCTGTTCCTTTGCATATTGCTAGTGTAACCTGAATCAAAGGCTACTAAACCTGAATTAAGACAGACAACAAAACTAGACAAAAAAGTAAACTAGCAGAAGTTTGTCGAAATTTGTATTAAAGTAAGAGTGAAAGACACCTCTCAAAAGTGGTAGACAAATTGTTGGGAATCTCTGTAATAGTGGGGATCCTCAGCACTTCATGAAGGTGACGGTAGCAGAGAGGTAGTGTGAAGCTTGGATTGTCTGCAGTAAAGTCCTGAAGTTTCACCCTAAAAAGGAAGGCGAGGTGCAGAATCTAACTGTAATCCTTTCCTCCTTGCACTGTACTTTCTTTTTATCTCATGTCAGAGTAAACTGTATGCTGAAAGTGTTCAGATAAGAGTAACGGCAGAATAAGGGTTTCTTAACCTCTTTTTCTGACCTGGTAACTAACTCTTAAACCAGAACTCGTGACTTTGCAAGCTTGGTGGGTACTAGTGTGTCAGAGCTGATGACTGACTGTTCAGGATCAGTCATGGCAGAATTCTCCCAAATTCTTTATGGATGAAGATTGCTTTAATTTTCATATCCAGTCACTAAGGATTTCATGAGGCAGTCATTTTTAGCATGATCAGGGGTTGTGCTATCTTGAGTTTGCTGAATTTCTCAGGAAAGAACTGTGGGATCTTTCAGTTAAAGAATGTATTCTCTGCTGACATCATCAAGTACAAGGTAGTTTTTGCAGGTCTGCATGGGACAATTGAATCTAGTACAGGTGAGTGCCATCAGTTGACACTGCTTAGATGCCAGGTGCCCACCTAGCCCCTCTCTTAATCCTGCTCCTCAACAGCACAGGAGAGAGAAAATACTACAAAAGTCTCTTGAGTTGAGATAAAGACAGGGAGCAATCACTCACCAATTACTGACATGGGCAAAAGAGACTCAGCTTGGGGAAAAATTAATATTACTGATCATATCAGAGTAGGATAATAAGAAATAAAACCTAATCTTAAGAGAGTACCTTGCCCCCTGCTCCTTCTTTCTGTCCCTTACTTCCAAATTCTTTACTTTCTCCCTTGCTGCAGCACAGGGGGATGGGGAATGGGGGTTGTAGTCAGTTCATCAGGTGCTGTCTCTGCTGCTCACTCCTCCAGCATAGGGTCCCTCTCATAAGAGACAGTCCTCTACAACTTCTCCATGGGAAGAGTCCTTCCCATGGGCTGCAGTTCTTCACAAACTTCTGTGGGGTGTAGTCCTTCTACAGACTGCTCCAGTGTGTGTCCCCTGTGACACCACAAGTTCTGCCAGCAAACCTGCTCCAATGTGGGCTTCTCCCTCCATGGGTCCACAGGTCCTGTAAGGAGCCTGCTCTAGCTTGGGCTTCGCTTGGGCTCATAGCTTCCTTTGGGCACCCACCTGCTCTAACGTGGGGCCCTCCATGGGCTGCAGGTGGCTATCTGCTCCACTGTTAACCTCCATGGGCTGCAAGGGTACAGCCTACCTCACTGTGGTCTCCTCCATGGGCTGCAGAGGAATCTCTGCTCTGGTGCCTGGTGCACCTGCTCCCACCCCTTCTTTCCTGGTGTTGGTGTCTGCACCAACAATTGTTTCATGCCACATTCTCATCTCTTGGACTGCAGTTGCTCTTGAGCAGCAACTTTTTTTCCTTCTTAAATATGTTATCCCAGAGGTGCTATCACCATCACAAACAGGCTTGGCCTTGGGCAGCAGTGGGTCTGTCTTGCAGCTGGCTGGCATTAGCTCTGTTGACATAGGACAAGTTTCTAGCAGTTTCTCCCAGCTGTCCGTGCACCTGTAGCCCCTCCTGCTACCAAAACCTTGCCATGCAAACCTAATAGAGAGAGGAAATCAGAAATCCTCTAAAGCTTCAACGTAGATTACTCACTTTTTGCCTGCAAGCTTACTTGTTTTTTCTCATATATTTTGAAGTAGATCTCCAAATATTGAAGACCTAATTTTCTGTGGATTATTTTCTTCCTGTAGCTCATATCTGGATTCATGTAACTGGACCCATTAAAATTAAAATCAATGTATCTTTGAACTTAAAATCACATGCAAGCACATGAATGTCTTTTTGGGGTGGTAAAAATGGAAATGTTTTACAAAGGCCTAAGTATAATTTATTAAGAGAATCCTGTGAGAAGTTTTCTTGGGTCAAAGTGGGATTGGCTGCCTTGTTTCCTTGGGTGGTTAGTCTCCATTCCCCTCTTGTCACTTCTGCCATGCTCTACAAGAGTACAGAAATAGCTTGATACATGCAAAGCTAGTGAGACCAGTCAGTTCTTATTTCTGAAGGATTAGCTTTTCTCTGTGCCACAGTCAAACTGGAGGGAGAAGTGGTATGGTTGATGTTTTCCCATTGTGAATGAATTTCTGCAGAGAATGAAAAAACTGGCAGGGCTTCAAAGGTGTATGAACTACTCTGCCTGCATACGCAGGGCCTTTAATTTTGATGAAGTAGCTCCCTTAAAGACACAACACCACACCAAAAAAATCCAAACCCAATGCAAACAGGGCTCTGTAAGTTCACACTGTATTCATGCCATTTATTAATTACTTTTTTTCCCCTGGTTATAGCTGTTGGCTTGTGTACCTGCACCTGCTTTCTCTCGATTCATGAAGAAGAAACGCAGGAAAGGGAGAGCAAAGCTGATACGGAGCGGTGGTTTTATAAATAAGACTTTTCTTCTCTTTTTTCCAGATCCAATATTGCATAAACATGGGTGCATTTTTGGATAAACCAAAAACTGAGAAACACAATGCTCACGGTGCAGGGAACGGCTTGCGTTACGGCCTCAGCAGCATGCAGGGCTGGCGAGTGGAGATGGAAGATGCTCACACGGCTGTTGTGGGTATCCCCCATGGCTTAGAGGACTGGTCCTTTTTTGCTGTCTACGATGGTCACGCGGGATCTCGTGTTGCAAATTATTGCTCCACGCACTTATTAGAACACATCACTAACAATGAAGACTTCAGGGCGACAGAAAAACCTGGATCTGCTCTTGAACCATCAGTGGAAAATGTCAAGAGTGGAATCAGAACTGGCTTTTTGAAAATTGACGAGTATATGCGCAATTTCTCAGACCTCAGAAACGGGATGGACAGAAGTGGCTCAACAGCAGTGGGAGTCATGATTTCACCTGACCATGTATACTTTATCAATTGTGGTGATTCACGTGCTGTTCTCTATAGGAATGGACAAGTCTGCTTTTCAACACAGGATCACAAACCTTGCAACCCAAGGGAGAAGGAGAGAATCCAGAACGCAGGAGGCAGTGTAATGATTCAGCGTGTTAATGGTTCGTTGGCGGTTTCTCGAGCTCTGGGGGACTATGACTACAAATGTGTTGACGGTAAAGGCCCTACAGAACAACTTGTTTCTCCAGAGCCTGAGGTTTGTGAAATTTTAAGGGCAGAAGAAGACGAGTTTATCATCTTGGCTTGTGATGGCATCTGGGATGTAATGAGCAATGAAGAGCTCTGTGAATTTGTGAAGTCTAGACTTGAAGTATCAGATGACCTGGAAAAAGTGTGCAATTGGGTAGTGGACACTTGTTTACATAAGGTATGTAACTGTTTTCTCTAAGCAGCTGTTCTAAAATCATCTTCTGTTTAGGTGGGTACAGTGTTGGCAGTTCCTATCCTGTGCTTCCCCTCTCCTCCTTCCTTCCTTCCTTGCCTCACAATTCTGTACCCTTTTGACTGTATGTCCTTGCTGAAGAGTATACAACTTCATCCATTGTGTCTGGAGAGGTGATAATAATTGCAAAAAATAAAGGCTTGTTATTTTCTTAAATAACACTTGCTTATAATTCCAGCTCCAAATATATTTCCAAATACAAAGTTTTTAAAATTGATAATTCCGTGCAAGCTATTTTGGTGGTTTGGGTTTTTTTTTTTTTGTCTTTCAACTTGGTCAGTGTTTATATTTGGTGGTTTGGGGGTTTTTTTTGTCTTTCAACTTGGCCAGTGTTTATGTCCTTTGCATAAAAAGTGTTTGCACCAGCTCCTCTTGAAGGTGTGGTTTATCTGAAGTGGTGTTCTCATCATACTATGGTAGCTTGCATGGAGAAATGCTACTTGTGCATCTGAGCTTGCTTGTGCTCCTCACATTCAGAGTCTGTCTGAAGCAACTACAGGGTGGACTACAAATGCTTCATAGGTATACTGTGTCCAGCACTCCCTGAAAAGTGCTGCTCCTACTAGTGCAAATAGAGTTCCTTCATTAGGCAACAGACAAAACATGCAGTTTTGAAGAAAATGTTTAAAATTCACAAATCTAATGCTAAGGGGTAAGTTTTGTTTTGTTTTGTTTTTTTTCAGAAATAGATTTATATTCCTCTGTATACCTACTGTATGTTGTATAATTGATTTAAATGCCATGGCTTTTCTGACCAGTCTGGCTAAAGGCTGGTCACTCTAGTATACTCTGAGTAAAACTGAGCCCTGACTTTGTGTTTATTTTATAAAGTCAGATTGTGGATCCTGTCACTTTTTAACTATTGGATTGTTGTCCTCTGGCTTCAGGATGTGAAAACATGCATCCTCATGGGCTTGGTATGAAAGAGAACATAAGAATAAACTTTTTCAGCAGTTACTCTATGTTAGATGGCTACTTAATTTAAACTGCTGAAAAAGTTTATTCTTATGTTAGATGGCTACTTAATTTGTTTGGGAGAGAGAGTTGTGATAATGGGAACTATCCATAGGTTGGGTTTACACAGAAAAAAATGTGCAATGACTAATGGCACTTAACCTTCTACAGCACACACCCCCCCTCCCAAAGTTAATGCCTTGATTTCAAACCGGGAGTTTAAATTGTGTTCTCCTGGTTCTCCTTATAAGAGAATTAGACACTGATTTTAAATTTGAATGTGGATTATAGTTTTGAAAATTAAATAGGAGCAGGAAAGTGGTATCAGAGCTTAGTAATGAAGAGTCAAGTACTGCTCTCTACTGACTAGTATTAAAATGAGTATCTGAGGTAGTTGTTGGCTATGTATGCTGAGCATATGGTGACTGAAGGTCAGCTTGGCCACACGAATTGAATGTGTATTCTGTACTTGGGTTCTTCAGGGTGCCATGTCTGAAACAGGAGCATTCTACTAAACAGAATTGTAATAAAGGCAATGTCTTTGGTCAGTGTTCTCAAAACAGACAAAATTCCTAACTGCAGCTACCTGTTCTAGTAGTGTAGGATAATCATGCTGCATTGAGTTTTGCGATACGAGTTGTTTTTTAACTTGGTTTAAGGTAATGTCTGTCTTAATTTCTGATGTGTTTTCTTGATAGAATTTTTAAACAGTTGACATGTAAATAAGTCCATTAAATATTTTACCCTTTAAGACTAAGCAACAAAATTAATTTTAGTGAGTAGCTGAGATGCTTAAAGGTTCTCATTAATCAAAACATGCTTTTATTGCAAGGTATCTTTTTTCTCCCCCAGCTATATTTGTAGTACTGTTACTTGTTCCAAGTGAAAATGTGACTGGAATAGACAAATGAGAACTAAGATTAAAGATCCTAACTCATCTTTTTTCTTTATCATATAGGGGAGTCGTGATAACATGAGTATTGTACTAGTTTGTTTTTCAAATGCTCCTAAGGTCTCAGATGAGGCAGTGAAAAAAGATGCTGAGTTGGACAAGTACTTGGAATCACGGGTTGAAGGTAAGAAATCCATTTTGTTCACTAGAAATGCTGCTTTGGCATTCTTAGGCATGAAAACAAAAACCCTGAGAGCTGTCATGCTACTTAGATGATGGGTCAGATTCAGGCCTGGGTACACCTCTGAATTTTTGTGTGGCAGGAAAACTGCTGTAAGCTGTGTAGTTGGTTCATCCTGGTATTCCACAAGCATTTTCTTCCTTTAGATGAGCTTTAGATTTTTTTACTCTGTCTTTACAGGTCAAAATGCAACCACTGGCATGCAGAGTGTTGTATCAGCTAAGAGAATGGTGATGTTGTTCATGTCCTGCCTACAAAATATTAAAAGGCATCTTTGTGATAGTTGTTCACTATTTTTTGTGCAAGTTTTTGACAAAAAAAAAGAAGCAGCTGTACTGGGTTTTCATGAAGGGACAACTTACCTAATTATTCAAGCTTTTTTTAACTGCTTCTGTTTGATACAGCTGTGAGTTATTTTCACACCAACAATTTTTTTTTTATATGTGCTTCTGCAAAATCAGTGGAAATGGTCAAAAAACCTGTGAATGCAAGAGCCTTAACTCATCCCTTTTGATTCTGAATGCTTATCTATTGTGTGTGTGAATAAAACCCATATAATCATCTGGAACTTTCATGGAGGTCTACATTCCTAACCAGTTTCTTTTAGTCACTGATTTTATAACTCTTTACATATCCAAAGGGTGGAACGCAACTTCTGCCTTCAAGCAGGAAGAAGCTTCAAGCAGAAAACAGTGAAAGAAAAGTTAGCCTGACTAAGAGTGAAAGACTTACCATTGTATATTTATTCCTTTTCTGTAGTGTTCTTAGTGTTCAGAAAAACTGGCAGTTGAAGCAGGGTTTCAGACTTTTCTTCCAATTCAAAGTCTTATTGCTGGTTAAGGCTGTTCTAAGGTCTGTTGACAGCTGTATGCAGTGGCTTCCTGGTCTCTTCCCAATTATCCTGGTCATCCAGGTATAGCTCAGTTTTGGTAGAAGTGACTGAGGTTCAGATTTGATATTATAAAAGGGGCAAACTTCAGTATTGCACTTATGTTGACACAGGTTTTTGCAGAAGCAATACGGGCGTAAAAATACCGAGTTCTCGCAACTGTTTGTCCTGCTGTGACAAATGTTGCTGGAATATTATTGTGAAGTAGCACCATTGGAGAGAAGCATTCATCAGAGTTTTTGAAAGCCTTGTTATTCTGATGCTTTAAACTTCTCATCAGTGGAGTACTGAAGCAGTGTCACCAACTTAGGGTGATGCAGCTTATTAACAAGTTTGTTGGAGCTATCAGTTAGAGCAACAGTATTCAAGGAAGGAAAGAGTTTACTGAAGAGACAGCTGCCTGATATAACTTGAACCCTTTCTTGATTTGTTTCAGGCCTGGACTAGTATATGCTGATCACTAGATCCAAGTTTAACTGTGCCTCATGAAGAGGTGGCCACTTTCTGGATGAATGATGAGTCATGTACACCTTAGATGTACTTGTTCCAAGTGTTGAGAGCAGTGGTTTAGCTTTACAGTATAATATTGCTGTTCTGATGGTACTTCCCTATGTTCAACTTGAAAAATGCTTTACTGGCAGTCTACAGGACTGTTCAGCAGAGTTCCATGAAAGTAATTTTAGATGTGGGTGCTGAGATATTTGGGACTTCACAGGTCAGAACCAGCATGAAGTCACCATTTTGAGACTGTAACAAGGTTTCCATGGCATCAAACAGTGTTCTGGCCACTGACTGCCTGAGCATTATTTTATCAAAGAAGACGTGACTGACCAAGTTTTCTCAGTGTGGATCTGGAACTCTTCCCAGCACCCAAGCATGTTGTGTATAATCTGTAGGGATAAAAGACTTGCTTATGACTATTTGATGAGATTTGCCACTACAGGACTCCAGTGCTATCACATAGGAGACAGATGCCACTTCGGTGTTTTCATTCTGGTTTATTTGAATATCTGAGACACTCACTGGCTTTTTAACGTGCTGTAGTGGATACTGAAAGAACTGGTTGGATGTGCTTTTACTAGAAAGTAGTTCATATCTAAATAAGTAGCATTAGGTATAATTGAAAAGTAACCCAAGGAAATCAGGAATCATCTGAGAATGTACAACACCAGAAGTCCCACAGCTAACCATTCATGACTTTTCTTAACACTAATTCAGTGTAAAATGCAACAGTGCTGTGGAAATGTACATGCTGCCACTGTAACCACGTGCTGTGAATTGGTTTGCCACTTGAGTATCAAAAATTCTCATTTTAATGCTAGAAATGACACTTACTGTAGATATTTTATCATTTAAGTTTTCATTTGTGTGAAACAGCCTGTAAAAATCACTCGTGTTGTCTCTTCAGGTAGGTTTTTTGTTGCACTCTTAATTAACCAATGAGGTACACTTAAAGGTGTTTTTTTTGTATTTCTGTGAACATCCCAGTGATCTAGATAGCTGATGTAGCAAACCTTAATTTTAAAATATATACAGGGCCTTCAGGCCAGGATTCATTTATCTCTGAATGAGATGCTGCTGTGTGTGGTGTCTTCTCCTCTTGTTTGAATGGGATCTAAACTGAAATGGCTTGCATATTTCTAGTTTCTGTTGAGATTGGAGAGAGCCAATGGTCACTTCAAATGCTAACTCTAGGCGTGTTTTTCAGAACTTGGCTTACATCCCAGGCTTCCTAGATGACACTAGTTAAGATAAATACCTATTATCTTCCTATGTCTGAGTAGTGTACAGGAGCTGTTAATAGGCTCTGGGAGAGAGCCAGGAGCAGTTACTGCTGTCAGTGACAGCAGTCAGGTGTGCACACAGTGACTGCTGCTTAGTATTCCCAGCTTCTTGGTGGCTCCTCTTGTGTAGCAATTGGAACTGCAGAGTATTTTATTACTTTCCTAAGTGTATGTTAAGAAGATCAATAGAAAAATTGTCAAAACTTCTGATCAGAGTGATTGGATGAACTGAGAATGACGTAGAACGCACTGTTTGCTAGTAGTAGTGTAGTGCTGGAATGTGATTGAGTTACTACTTTAACCTACCAAAATAACTTCTTAGCAGAAATCTGTTTTAGCTATATTGCCATATCTAACAAATGCTACACACATAAAAAAAAGTGTAGAGTTTGTAGTCTGAACTGATACAGAGCCATTCAAATGTAACTCAAAATTATTCTTAAGCTGAAGTGCTCCAGAGAAATTAACTGCTTCAAAGCTTGAACTTCTGTTGCTTCAGCTCTTTCTTGATTAACCTTTTTGGTTTTTTTTGCTTTCCCCCCTGCATGGGTTCCTGGTGTCATTCTGTGTTCTGCTGATTGGACAGAGTGCAAGGCCTTTAAATGTCAAGTAGCAAGGAATGAGAGTTAGCATATTTGATGAAATTGTCAAGAAGTGGGAAAGGAAAGAGACTTCAGAAGAACTTGGAAGTATTTACCTGCTTCCTAACAAATTCTTGCAATCATAATCAGTTTTATGGAATTGTCTTTTTGACACAGTCTCCTTAACCTAAAAAATAATATTGGACGGCAATTTTTACATACATTTGTGCCTTGAGTGATATTAGTTCAGAAATTATACAGAGGAGCTTTAACAATGTTTCAAACAACTGAGCACCATGGGGAGAATTACTTGGAAAGTTGTTAGATCTCTTTAAAAAAGTAGTCAGGTTTAAAGGTTTAAGTAGCAAGTGGAAATACTTTTAACTTCAAAAAACAGGGAGAGGGGAAGAGAATGATCTCAAGTGTTGGAGGAGTAACGAAGAGTTTTGGAAGATGGGAATATCTTTTTGATCAGGAAAGGCCAATTACCATAATCAATTCTGCCTTCATTTTTAGACTAAGGGCTATGCCTGAAAGATTTAAACAACCTTTTGTTCTAAAAGTTAAAGCCAGGTAGATAAGTTGCTGATCATACGGATTTTGTCATCTCTTTTAGTTAGTGTCAAAAGATGCATTCTAAATATAGTTTACACTTTATAATAGTATCCTTCAGGGATTTATTTGTAGTTCTGATGTGTTTTGAAGATCTGAACCTTGTTAAACGTGGTAGCAGCATCTAAGCATCTGTGTTCAGTTATGGCAAATGATTGTATGTTGTGAGAATATGTAGTAGATTTACTAATACTTAAAATACCAGGTGAGATGATGACTGTTGCTTTCAAAAGGCATGTCCTGGACATTGCACAGAAGGGTTTAACATGCACAGCAATGTTTCTTTATCTATTAAAGAACCAACAGCTCACAAGTTACATGTAGTTGATCAATAGTCAGTAACAATTCCATTTATACTTATGGTAAAAACATTCTGAAAAAAAAAACAGCTTCTCTTAGAACTAGTGTGCTGCAAAGATAGACATGTTGTCAAAAATACAAGCTCTTGTATCTCTTAGATACTCTCATCTTTCAGTAAGTGACTAATTTAAATCAGGGGAACACTGGAACTTAGTATAAAATCCTCTGAGGGTCCTGAAGCAATTTCAGTTTGATCAGTGATATTTATTCTTAATGAATGTACACTGCTTAACATGGAATATTTATTCTGTCATCTTGTGGACCTTAAATTTCAAGCTGACTTGTCTACAAGGTTTAATGAGTTAGTCAACAGTTTTCTTCACTGCTATGTTTGAGAATTTTAAGCTCTGGCTTGAGGAGAAGGCATTGTTTGAGGCATGCTTTTGTTTAAAAAAAAAAACTGTGTTCAAAAGCAGCTTAATATTTACATATATAACATTTGTAGTCTCTTTGTACATTCCTAGAGTGGAATGCTGAGATCCTGTGTATTTGTGCCATGAATTGTTACTTGTTCCATAAAATCTTTCCAGAGTTATTAAAAGAGGATTATTTACTACCAAAAGAGAGTAGTTGTTTTAATAGAGTTATTAAAAACAAACTCAGCGAGTGATAGTTTCCAGAGATTCCTGGTGGAAGAACTGTGTACCAAAGCTCTTTCACTAGTTTGGGTCTTGAGGTTGATGGGATGTGTTTAACTGCATTCCAAAGCTGGCAGTTAAAGAGGATTCTGAAACACTTCAGAGGTTGCAGTCAGTAGCTTGTGATTGAGTCATTTATGATGGTGAGCACAGCTGTGCTTCTGATTTGACTCACTTAATTGGCTCATTTCCAAAATCATGCAGATGTGTTGGATAGTAGTTAAGTTATGCTAGGTCAATCTTTTCTTACCACCACGGTCAGATGGTGCTTTCTGTTCTCTGTTGTGGTTTAACCTAGCAGGCAGCTGAACACCACAGAGCTCCTTGCTCCCCACTCCCAGTGGGATGGAGAAGAGAGTCTCAGGGGTGGGGAAAAAAAGGTAAAACTTTTTTTTGTGGGTTGACATAAAGACAGTTTAACAAGACAGGAAAGGAAGAGGAATAGTCATAATGAAAATAGAATATACGAAGCAAGTGATGGCCAGTGCAATTCCTCACCACCTGCTGACTGATGCCCAGCTGGTGCCCAAGCAGCAGGCTGCCACCCCTTCAGCTGCCACCCCCCAGCGTTGTTGTTCAGCATGATGTCATGGTGTCAGGAATAGCCCCTTGGTCAGCTGGGGTCAGCTCTCCTGGCTGTGTCCCCTCCTAGAAACTTGTGTGTTCCCAGCATACTCAGGGGCAGGGCAGCATGAGAAGCTGGAAAGTCCTTGGCTTAGTGAAAGCACTGCTCAGCAACAACTACAACATCAGTGTGTTATCAACATTATTCTCATCCTAAATCCAAAACACAGCACTGCACCAGCTACTGGGGAGAACATTAACTCTGACTCAGCCAAAACCAAGGCGTCTGGTTTCTCTGTTTTTCAGAGATCCAAGGTTTGGTCACAGGAGAGAAAACTAGCCACAGAAGTCAACTCAGTTGTCTGATGTGCTTCAGTTTATTTGAAAGGTTGTATCAGACATGCAGTTAAAAAAAACCACAACAGCCCACAAACAAACAAAAAACCCTAACCAACCAAACAGCAACACACACACCAAAAAAAAAAAAGAAAACCAACCAAAAACCCAAACCACAAAACAACCCCACCAAAACCAGCCACTGAAAAAACCCAAAACACTACCCCCCCAAAATCAGAGGCACATGTTTGTGTAGGCTTAAAAAGTCTTAGTAGCAGACAAATAGTTAATACAGTGAGTTGGATGGTGTTTTACAGATATGTGGAATATATACTTTATATTAAATGTATTTGGCATTATTTTATAGCTGGAAATCAAAGGAGGTACTGGAACATAGGAAACTTGTAATGCTGTGTGTTTGGGGACTTTCATGGTATAAAATTTTTGTCTGAAGTTTTAAAATGTGTATCTTTTGAGTTAAGTGTTAGGGTTTTAAATAAAAGTATTCTAGAAGTAAAGTAGCAGACTTCCATGGATTTGTATACATGATAATATTCAGGAAATGATTCTTCCAGTGTCTGAATTGTATTAGCAATGAAGATGTAGAAGTTTCTGCTATTGTTTTGCACACTAAGGGGAAAAAAATAATTCCAGGGTTATTTTTAACATTATAGAGAGAAGGATGAAAACCTTGTAAATGCCTGTAAATCTGTTTCTGAAAACATTCGGTTTCTTTCTCTAGTGGCCTTTGTCAACAAATCCACAATGTGTGTCTGCTAACTGATGTGGAATGAAAAAAGGCCGTGCCTAGTCATCTGCTTCATTCTCGGGTTTTCTGTTAGGAAGCTTCTTTTTTCATTTGAAGAGAGGGGACATATTCTGGATAAAATTACTCACCCGAATACCAGGAAAAGAAAAAGGAGATGATCAGTTCCACTAGAATGCTTGATTTGGCACTTTCTAGAAATGTTGGGAAGATGGTTGTCATTCAGTTCAGCACTCCAAAAAGTGGCTATACAGTGTAAAGGAAAGGTTTCCATTTCCCAGAAATATACTGTGATCCTTAGTTGATTGCTTTAATTCCATTTTAAGAAGATAGAAAAATCTCTTAGGCTTGTATTAATGTCTAGTAATTGCTTACTTCTGTAGCCTTTCTTAATTCTTGCTATTTGTCTACTTTCAGTATGTACAGAACCAGATGTGCTCTTGGTATAAAACCAGCATATGCATAAGGCACGTTTCCTGTCAGATGTGACTCAAAATTACATTGTAGTGGTACAATCTACTTCTAACTAGATAAAACTGTACAGAAGAACACAACGTATAGGAGGACTTGTGGCTGATTTGTGTCATTCTGTATGGAAGAAGTGATCAAGATCTTCAGATGCAAGCATACATACTCAGCTGTCACTTCCTTTGCTGGCTGTGATTCATTTTTAATGGGTGGATATATGATAATATACATAAAGCTTCCTAGAAGAATGTTTAATCACTTCTAGTAATAGTATACCTAGTTTATTCTTTGCAGAGGTTGTATGATGCTGACTTAAAATTGGTCTTAGAAGCATAGTGCCAGTAGTAAAACTATTCTAAAAGTGGAGTTGCTTTTTGGCTGCTTTCCTACAGCTCTCCCTGATGTAGAGAATCAAGTACCCTGCAAGCACTTTGGTTTTTTTAGTACTCCTGAGAGAAGCATGCATATCACTTGCTTTCTAGAGGGGTGATAGACATCAGGAGAGGTTTAAATACCAGGAAGCTTGGTGTGCAGTGTGTGCTTTACCACTTCAGAAACTCAAACTGTAGATGCTGCTGGCTTTAGTTGCAAGTTCCAAGTAAGGCATCCAGATACAATCAATTCGTTGTAAGAAGAAATTTAAGTGATTTATTTATCTTTGGATGGTAGCCAAGATACAGACTGATTGAAGGTGTGTTTTTTTTTAGAATAATACTTGAGAGGATTTATTCTTCTTGGTTCTTATATTTGTGGCTCAAAGAAGTTTTATCTGGAACTAGGTCTGTAGGAAATGGCACTCTATTCCTTAATTTAGTTGGGGGTGGAATCTTAAAAATGTGATATATTGATACAACTACAATTTGTAGATAATTTTGAACCTTTTTCTGCCATGGTAGTAGTTGAATGCCCAGAGGCTGAAGACTAGAAGCTGGTAGTGTGAATATATATGCAGCTATTACATGTTTGTATTACAGCAGGTTTGATGAATAAGAGCGTGTGAAGATTGACTTCAGTTTAGGCAGTTCTTTTCAAAGGCAGAAGAATGTACTAGCACTGGGCTCATGTGAAATGGTATTTCATTTTCAGAGCAGAAGTATTATTAGTCATTTGTCATGGGTTCTATATTCTGTTTTGGCCACTGGAGTGACAACAGGCCATTATATTTGCTGCATTATTGCCTGATGATCTCAGCGTTTATGCACTGGAGATTCAGGCCTTGGAGAGAACAAGGTGTCACTACCTTGTAGTAACTTGCTACCGAAGTAGCAGTGAGGTAGGGCTGAATGCCTGGGAAGCATTTCTGTTAGGACATGAACTTCTGAGTGTGGGTTGCAGTGCAATGGGAAGGTAACTGAGAGGCAGAGTGGAAGGGCTGGCTGTGAATTTAACCGGCTCTGTTCCACCATACGTAGACTGCTTACCTGACATGTAAAGAATATTTTCCTCTTTATGTGTAACTTTTTCATAATGTCTCTGTTAAAAAGTGATGCTATCTTGTATTTTAGTGTCTTGCTATAAAGTGGGTGATATTAATTTAGTAATCTGAGTGCTTCTTCTGTTTTTGAATCAGAAATTATGGAGAAATCGGGTGAAGAAGGAATGCCTGATCTTGCTCATGTCATTCGCATTTTAACTGCGGAGAATATCCCAAATTTACCACCAGGAGGTGGTTTAGCTGGCAAGTGAGTACAGTACTGCAATTTCTTGAACTGTTCAGTTCACTGAAACAAATACTTTTATTTAAATGTTTTAAAGCTTTCTTATTGTAATAGCTATACTCAAAGAAAAAAGTTGGCGTTTGTGTTTTAAGATAGTTAATCTTTTACAGTATATAAACATTTATGTCACTGTTCCCATTACCAGAACAGTAAGAAGAAACAAATCCTATTCTGGTACATAACATACTAGTTTACTGTTTTCATATGGCTATTTTTAAAAAAAAAAAAAATTAAAAGCTTATTCTTGGCTTTTTATTGTTTTACGATTATTAAGAATTATCAATAATGTAGCTGCAATATCAAAATATCAGTGAAGCTTTCTTGATGGCATGCTTCCTTCACTACCTAGTGTCCGTTACAAGTCTGGATCGATGCTCTGTTAAGCAAGAATTCTCATTAAAAAAATGTTTTTCTTTGTTTAATCTTAAACAGAATGTTAGATAAGCAAGGATTTTGAACTAGCGTATGCATTTTACAACTGAATTGGAATAAACATTCCAAAATGAACTTTTTTTTTTCCTGGGGAGGCTAATGGTCATCTTCTAACAACCTGTAACTGGAGGATTTTAATGAACAGAATTTAAGACGGCATAAACAATTGTTTAGATTAGAGTTCCCCAAAGAGTGGGACCCATTATTACCCCCCAGCATAGGTCCTGTTTTTTCTGGAATCTGTGTTTTTCAAAATACTAAGTTCTGTCCCGTGAGCATTTGTGTGTACATCTGTCTTCATTGTGTGTATTTACTAATGAGCACACTGCTATTATTGTGGTTTTTTTCTGGCCTTGAAAGTACCTCTATGTTCTGGACCTTTTTCTCCACTTGTGTGCTTTCCAGGCACTCAGAGAAGTTGTGGTGTGCTTGTTCTTCGTAGCGCCTCCCAACTGCTGGATAAGTTGATGTGTTCTGTTGTTTTGCTCATTAGTAACTCTATCATGCAGTACTTCATTGTTCTGGAACCTTCGCATATAAATTCAATTTTAATTTATTGTGATGTTGGTTGCATTTTTCATAGGCTTAGGTTCAGAATTTCCCTTATTGATGCCTTTTGCTTCCTCTTGACTTTCAAAGTCTGTTAAAACTAACTTCAGGAGGTGTACTTGCAGCTTCTTTTAAGATAATATATATTACTGAGTAACTTTTTTGTGTCCTTCAAACTTAGAACAAAGGCAGCAATGTATTTAATTTACTTTTAGGATTTTGCTCCTAAATGGAAGTTTTGAAAAAGTAGAATTACACAACCCAAAACCACATACCATGTAACTTAAAACTTTTGTCCTACCAAGAAGATATTCTTTATCTTGAGATCCTTATCTTGTGATATTACCATGACATAAAAAAATTTGCACTTTGTCCTTCTGTTTGAACTCCAAGACCTGGTTCAAACTGGTTGAAGAAGGAGCTTGTTTGTGGCTTATACCCTTGGGTTTAGCACCAGTTGCTCCTTGTCCTTCATATGTCTGACCTGCAGAAATGCAATGTGATATATGTTTGTAAACCTTAGGAACCTCTGAGTTATCTCCACTTTTATAGTCATTGTATACTTGTATACAGAGGTCTCTGCTGGCTCATTCTTGTGACAGGGGATCTAAAGGTGTCAGCTCTGCTTTAAAATCTTATTCTTCAAAGACTGGCTTCTGGCTTGACTTGGATCCCCTTGTAATTTCAGCTACTGCCAAAAGAATGGTCATTTGTTGCTCAAGTAAACAAGTCCTGAGCTACCCTGTCACTTGGGCGTTAGTACTTACAATCAACATTTTGCTCCTGAGTTTTCCCATCGAAGGAAAGTACAGAGAAATAGGCTATCCAAAGAAAGAGAAGTGAATTGAAAAGATAGGAAAAGTCCCAATGGGCTGAAGTTTAAATCTGATTTAAACCCTCTGTGATGGCTGTTGGCTGCTTCTGTCGCAGCCTTGATCTGGGCTATGAGTTTTCTGTTACATTCTTTTCTCTAGGAAAATCTTCCATCTCTGCTGTTGGATTCCATACTAGCTCAGTAATACAACCCTTCTAGATTTCGTCTGAAAGCACTGACTTTAACTCATGTCCCCTCAGAGAAGTTGTTCTTCAGTGGACTTTTCATGTCAGACATAATTTTTGAAAGTGTCACTCTCAGTTTAATTCTGAACTTCCTTCCTGGAGCTCATTGAAACACAGCCCAAAACCTTTGTGTGTGAAGGAGCACAAAACACTGTTACATATATGATGCATATACACCAGTGTCTTGAGGCTTTTAAGTTTTCAGGTGTATCTTTTGTCTGGCTTTTGGTTGTCTTGGTGTCGTGTGTCTAGGTAAGTGCTGATATCAGCAGCAGCACTTACTGCCTGTGAACGCTTGACAGCACGGTGACTTTCCAGGGTTGTAGGTTAGTGGTCAGCCTGAGATTTGATGTGCTGTCCCTTGCATTCACTGGTCCACAAACTGTCTCCCAGCATTGAGTGTTTCAGTAGGTACTGTTTTAAATGCTGGATCATGACTGGAAAAATATATTCTGGTGCTGGACACTAGATGCTGGGATTGCCTATTGCTCTGCATTGGACCTGGACATACTTGAAACATTCCATTCAGAACAATGAACTTTTCTATTTTGAATGTGCTTTCTTTCCTATGCTTTGAAAATAAGAACCTCACCATTATAGATCAGACCAAGGATCATTCTAGCTCTTTGTTCTGTCCATAGGGTAGCTGAAAGGAGGTACCTGGGGAAGAATATAAAAGCAGGAAAATATGTAAAATACTTCACCTATTCAGTTTTCAGTTACAAAGATGATTAGGGGGATGGAACATCTCTTTCATGAGGAAAGGCTGAGAGACCTGTTGTTGTTTAGCCTGGAGAAGACTGAGAGGAGATCTTATCAGTATCTGAAGCATGGGTGTCAATAGGATGGGGCCAGACTCTTTTCAGTGGTGCCCAGTGACAGGACGGGACACCAGGTGCAAACTAAATCACAGGAAGTTCCATCTAAAGATGAGGAAAAAATTCTTTCCTTTTAGGGTGACAGAGCACTGGAACAAGCTACTCAGAGACATTGTGGGGTCTCCTTCTCTGGAGACTTCCAAAACCTGCCTGAACACAGTCCTGGGAAACCTGCTCTAGGTGAACCTGTTTTGGTAGGGGGGCTCGACTAGATCATCTCCAGAGGTCTCTTCCAACCCTTACTATTCTGTGATTCTGTACAGCAGAGATTCTTCCTGATCTCGATCTAATTTATGTGCTTAGTTAGAATTTCTCTTCCATGAGGTCAAGTATGTTCAGAAGGAACCTCATTAAACTTCTACCATCCTCAGTGGTCTGGGGCAGAAAGTCCTGTTGCATCAAGAGCCATCACTGTGTATTTTTGAGACATTTGCTGCTGGTTTCATCTGATGCCCTTGTGCTCTTCATTTGGAAGAATCAAGAGTTGTTGCTTGTCTGTGTGCTGTAAGACATCATTTCTGCAGGTGTTGACCACTTCTATAACTTGAGTCTTAGTTCCTGTAGCAGTTCCTTTCTGTTGAAGCTGTCAGTATTTTTTACCATATTCATTACTCTTGTCTGAATGTTTCCCCATTCTTAGTATCCCATGATCATGTAGGGACACAACCTTTTTTCTCTGTGGTCTTTTTATACTTTGGGGCTTATTTTTTGAGAAGCTTTTTGTGATTATTTTGCCTGCTTGCAAAAGTGTGGCCTTATATGGCACTGCCAGAAAAAGTCTAGCTCGTGGCATTTGGGTTTTAATTTCTACCATGTGAATAGACTAACTAGACAACGTATCACAGACTGTGTACTCTGGGCCACACACTTTGGAAGTTCATAGCCAAGTGATCTTGGAGGTCCTTTCCAACCTAAATGATTCTATGATTCTAAGTAGTAACCTGTTTATACATAATAAAAATGGGGGAAAACCCCAAGTTCCACATCCAGAAATAAGACAAAGCCAGCAAACTTGAACAACTTCGTTATAATAAGCAAAATATAGATCTAAATGTTGCACTTGGCAAAATCTGGCTATGCAGCTGAACTACTAAAGATGGGAAGAATTGGGAGGGTAAGGTAGGAATATATTTTGCTTTGCTTAGTCTTTACAAATCCTGACTTAAAGCTAATTCCCCAAACACCATATTGCAAGCGAGTACAGACACTGAGAGTGGGCTTCATCTTTTTAAAGGGCAGGCTAAAGGCAAAACATCTTAAATGCTTTGAAACTATTGCTGAGCTCAAACTTTAAGTTCTCAAAGTGTTGAAGTCCTGTGTTGTGCTTAATTTTTTTAAAATTTCTCTCTTTAGGCGTAATATTATTGAAGCTGTGTATAGTAGGCTGAATCCACACAGAGAGAACGAGGGGGTAAGTTGCCACTTTTTTGCTACACCTCTTTGTTAATAGAATATTAAGGTAGGGCCCTATACTAAGCAAAATGTACATCAGTGCCAAAGAAGTATTCGAAACACAAAGTATCTGTTGTAGCACACAGTTCATTTTGAACATATTTTGAATGGACCTGATCTAGAGCATTGTCTTCAAAAAGTGAGAAAAAAGTTAGAAAACTGACATCCGATTCTGAAAGACTTTTAAAACATCTAACACTATAAAACTATTGCTTTTTCAGGCAAACATATGAGACAGGAGTGCAGTTTTTTCTAAATTATTATTATTATAAAAGATTATGCTTAGCATATTCATTACTTAACTAGCTATTGTCTGCTGTCCAGAAATGTAGCATAAGTGTGGGCAAACACATTTCTGTTGTCTTCTGTAAGTGTGGAAGACCTTGATACACTGGACATAAAAGATAATGAGACTAATTTTGACTGCATTTTTAGAGGTCACACTATCTTTCAGTATCCCACGTGGAGTGGTTGACAGAAAGGGCCAAATGATTTTTGGTTCACTTTGATTGCGATTTCTAAAATGGCTTCTGTTCTTCTGTCCAGTTTGAATTTTAATTAGTGTGTTGTAGTATGGTTTACTGGAACTTTAAACCTGATTATTAGGTGGCTCTTAATATAAAGAATAATGACTGGTCTTCATATCAGTTGCAGTTAAATTTGTTTTTAAAAAATAATTCAGAAAACGAGGAACTGATAAAAACCACCACTACTCTTACATGTGTTGTCATTTCCTGTGCAGTTTGTGAACTAAGTAAATCCTTCATCACAGTTTTTCTTCTCTGAGATGGCTACAAGGTTCTTAGGTAGTCATTACAATGAATAGTGTTGGGAAGATACCAACTTCTATTTTAAATGCTTTGAAATTATCAATTGTGCCCCTTGAGATTGTGAATATGCCATCTCATTACCATTACTGTATTTTTTCCCCATCATCTTCTCTTCCCTAGCTATATTTGATTTATTATCCTAAGTTAGAAAGCTGGTGTAGGTGGAAGGGGCCACTCTTCTGTTAAGAGTACAAATAGGGAAGAAGCTTCTGATTTTTTTTTTGTTCCTTTTTTAAGTTTGAAAGTGATAGAGTATACATTTTTTGTGTAACATTGAACAAATTGTGCAACACTACTCCAAAACAAGCTAGGCAAAATTTTCCTCTTTTCAGCTTCAGTACTTCAGGAAACTGCACCTTGGTCAGCCTGCTACTACTTTTCATACTTAGCCATAGATTTGTTTTGGGGTAAAGCTGTTGACTAAAGTGGTTTGAAGATTAAGAAATTAAGCTTTTTAAGCTAAATTTAAGTGGTTGCTTTTTAAAGAAAATTAAAAGTTTCTCTGATGGTAACTTTCTAGAAATACCATAGGCCATAGTTGCATTTATGATGCATCTCTTCTAAGTCCAAAGTTACTTTTCAATCAACGTGCAAGCTTGCAAAATTAACATAAAATGTAGCATACTTTTGTGTTGGCTACTCCCAGGAAAGTTTTGTACATCTTCCATTATAAAGTCATAAAATGAGAGAACTGAACTAAATATGGAAGTTGCTTGTAGAAGAATATATCTCTTACCCTTGTTACCGTTGATATCTTTGACATCTTATTGCTGTTAGAATCCTGGATAGTTGAGTTCTTCTCATTTGGCTTCCTGAACACAAAATGTGAGCAGTACATTCCAGTCTACTTTGTGAATTTTGCCTTCTGTTGCAATTTAGCACAAATCTCAATAATTATTTGGATGGTGTATTTTAAAAGCACTGGATTAAATTTCAGTTGGAACATGTGGTAAGATGTCATTTCCCAGTCAGTACCTTTTTTTCTTTCCATCCCAAGTGATTCTGAAGCAAAGCAGTTGCACAGGAGGATGCACTGCTGGTGAAGCATGCAATTCCTCTTTGCACTTTCCCAGCAAGTAGGATTTTTTTATCTTACAACCCTTGAAGTGAAAAAACTTAGTGGACCTCATCTCTGAGATGGTGAAAACAACAAGGGAAGGAAGCAGTTCAGTTACTCGGCCATCAGGCTCTCCGCAGTGTCTGCACGTTGTGGTGATAGTGCTGCACTTCCCACATTTAAACAGGAGGCAGAGGTGGGAAGGAAACACAGCACATCCCAATGCTGACATTTCCAAGTGAGGCTGAAATCTAACTAATAATGCCCTTGTTTAAACTAGTATGAAGCAAGAGCAGCTCTTCATGTGAAAAATGATGAACTGTAGACACAGATGCTGGGTGTGGAGAAAGGGCACGGAGGTGATCTGGCTTGTACTTGGAAATCTTTCCCCGTGTGTAGTTAAGGTATACACCATGCCAGAGCATGGGTATCGTGCAGAACACAGCTGTTACTGGCTGGAAAGTCTGCCTCTTGGTGGTCATCATCTGATGATGATTTTATATAAGGCTAGAACTTTTTTTTTCACCTTGACAAAATAATCATGTGACAAATTGCTAACGTATTAATTCACATAAATAAAAAAATTTTTAAAGCACCAAAAGCCACAAAAACAACCTGCTTGAAGACAGATACCCAAACCAACCAGATTAACTTCTGCAACTGAGAGTATGACTTCCTTCTAAAGAGTATTTTTTAGCATTAAACAATTTAAACTAGTTACCCTGAGTTACTGGAACTGGATCATAATAGCTTTGTAGATAAGTTCTTAGAAAGTATACAAATCAAAACCAAGGTGATAGATTTTTCTAGATTACCTTCATTTTTACTCAGAACTGTAAAGATTTCAGTTAATATTATGCTTAGATTTTTTTTTTGTTGTCCAAGCTAGCATTTATAGAGTAACTTCTTCCAATTTCTCACATGTGCATTTTCTGAGAATCCTTAACATGTAGCCTAAATAAGGACATGTTGTATAAAGTGAGAGGCTGAGGAGTGAAAGAATCCTTACTACAGCAGTATTTACAGATTACTAGTGTGGCTTCAGGGTATAGCCATGATAATTTTTTTTCTTTTTTGAATCTCAGTGGAGTACAAGTATTTAATAAATTCAGACAGGTCTGGGAGAGCCCTGCATTGGGCTCACCAAGAGCAACTTTGCCAGTGTTTGAACCAAGGGACCTCTGTAATAAATGTGGTGGCTTATGGCTTTCCAAGTATCAGTAAAATCATAGAAATCTGTTACCTGTTGTGGCTTGATGCTTTCAGATCTTTAAAGGGAATTTAAAGGAACTCCATAGCTAAGTAAACACTACCATTGTAATGTAACAATACTGTTGTAGTTAACATGTTAAAGTATTAGTCTTTCTCTAATGACCTTGCTTCTTCAGGCTTTTTTTAATGTGTTCTAGAAGATTACTGTCCAGTTAGACTATTTTAGGTGTGTATGTGTTCTTAAACCCAAGTAACAATGTTAAAATTACAGTGGCTCTGTTAATAGTTTCAGTAGAGGTTTTTAAAGCTGCATTTGAGTATCTTGTTTGGAACCAGTTATATTTCTGTCTTGCTTTTATTAATACTCTACACTGGCACTTTGCTAAATCAAATCATACGTCATTATGGGCTGCTAAAGAAAATTTTTAAAACTTAAATAGACCAAACTCTTACACCTGTAACCATTGTAAATCCTGTCCCTAATACATAGTAGCCTTTTTCACATACGTAATTTGACAGAGCAGAACTTGTGTACAAATTTAGAAAGCTCATGTTAGATACAGCTAGCACAAATTTATTGTTTTTATGGTCAGTAGCACTAAGTTGAATTAGCACATGAAGGAAGACAAATGCTAGCTGGGTGGTTTTCAGGGTACCTGTTCTAGCTGCACATCATTAGAGAGAGATGAGTGTTACAGTGTATGTATAGTATATAAAAGAGGCAGTTTCTGTCCTGTTTTCTGTGGGGTTTCTTGTTTACTAGCACCAAGGGAGATGAGGGAAGCACAAAATAGCCTGTGATCAGATGGGGTGCAAAGCAGGGTGTGAGTTTGAATTCCAAACACCAACAGCACTGTTACTCTGACTCCTACTAGCATTTGAGTTGTTTAAGAATCTCAGGGCTGCTAGTACATGGCTTATTGCTTATACTCTTCAATGTTACATGGGAGCAAAAGTATTCACTTCAGTCTGCCAAAGGAATTTTTCAAGATACCAATGTTGTGAAATGTGGAAGTTCAGGGCACGTGTTTGCTAACGTCAACCTCAGATCAAAACTGCTGTGATGGAGGAACTATGGAATTGTAAAAAATATGGATTCTTTAGCTGTGCTGTCTTGTTTAATATTAGCTAGATAAATACATCAATAGCATTTTTTTGTCAAAGCCTAAGAAACAGGACACATCTGGAGCCTCATCTTGATGCTGTGAGTTTTCACGGACTTTGTGCTCATGAGGCATTAAAACAGCCCCACTTCACACATTAAAATGACCTGCTTTAACTTGCTTCTGACTGAGCTCTCCAAGAGGTGTTCCAGTATGAAAATGCGACTATGTGAGAGTCAAAACATCTCAAACTAAGCCCAGTCAACTACAGTGCAAGTATGTCTCTACACAGGCAGCACATTAGGCTTAGAGAAATAGCATTCTGTGCAGTAACACTCATTTTTGTGGTGAAATTGTCCCCTTTTCAACATAGACTGTGCTAATCAATCTGGGGGCTTTTTTCCCAGCAACACTGCAGCATTCACAGTGTTACTGAACTCAAGATACTGTCTTAATACTGCTATTAAGCTTGTAAATGAGTGACAGCAATAGTGGTAGTTCATGAAACTTTTGAACTAGGTGACAATAAAAATGAGGTCAGCATGACAACAAGGCAGTCTGGATTTTGCCTCTAATGCCTTACAAGCTCTCCTAGCTTCCAGAGATACAGGACCATTTTTCTAGCTAGATAACTTGCTGGATATTAATAATTTAACATGTACTGTTCCCTTAAAGCAACAGTACTGCTTTAGCACTTGAAAGTTTAAATACCTAGTCAGAGCCCTGTAACAGATACACAAGTCTGTTGGAAAACAAAACAAACAAACAAAAGGCAAAAAAAAACCCCAAACCCAGCCAAGAAGCCCCCCCCAATTTTTTCAGCTGAAGGCTTATAGCCATATAGGTGGTTTGCAGAGGAGACCTGTTCCTTAATCAATGCATGTTACTCAGACTTTGTGCTGTAGATTATTAAATTTGGCTTTAAATAATTCTTCTACCTGTTAATTTTTCTAGACAATACATCAGTCTGCCAAAAACAGTTCTTCACATTGTTCAGCCACCACCACTTCTGGTGCTGATAGGTAGCTGCTTGTTTCTTTTATGACAGCATCATGCATGCAAAAACGAGGGGCTGTTTTCTGTAATTCTCTAGGCATTTATTTTGATGAGATGCTTCTACTACACTGTTAGCATTAGAGTTATCTATTCTCTTTAGTAAATTTTTCACATAACTGTGTTGCTATTGGCTATGCAGAAATTGGCAATTAAAAATATTGAAATACTGTTCCAAGATGTGTGCTGCTAATAAGGTATTTTATATTCAAATAGAGCAACAGTCGTGTTTTATCACTCAGAAAAAAAAAATGTGTTTTTAAAAATGTGTTTAGAAAATATTCTAGTTTAACAATCGATTTTTCTGGGGTCTTGAATCTTAAAAAAAGGACCCTGCCGAAGCCGAGGAGAGTGGAACACAGGGAAAATTGGTGGAAGCACTCAGGCAAATGAGAATTAATCATAGGGGGAACTACCGCCACCTCCTGGAAGAGATGCTGACTAGTTACAGGCTAACTAAGATGCAGGGAGAAGAGTGCACTGCTGAATCAGCTGCAGCATCCACTTCAGATACTCATGCTGGACCCAGTGACCCCGTACCAGACACCCACCCAGAATCTGGGACCCACCTTGCTGAAAGACAGAGCTCAAGCGAAGATTCAGGGATGAAGGGGATGGGTGACAAACAGACATAATGTTTTCCAGAGCGGATTTAACGCTTCGCTTCACTTGGCGTGTTTTCCTTTGTTTATATCTCAACATTTGTCACTTCTATCCTAGAAGTCTGCTTGGTTTTACTTCAGTTATTTGTACAGATTGTTTATAGAAAGCTGTTTTCCTTAGAAGTTCAGCCATTCTATTACAGTAATTGCATCTTACGTTGTGTAGCAAGCAGTTTTCTCATTTGAGATCTTGATTTTTTAAAAAAATCCTGTGATACCAACAATAGGAACCTAATGTGCTAATTCAAGAGTGGATTTTAAAACTTTTAAGCACCCTCTTAAATAGTAATTTTGATGGTCTATGTTTGCTAATTGTAAAGTAATTCACATCTTAATTGTATTTTCTGTGCGAATTAATTGAATTAGAGAAATTTTTCAGTCTTTTTTCTTTTCCCGGCATCATAAACTGCATGTTTGTACTTGAATTGTATATAGTTTATATTACAACTAAATTACAGAAAATTATTGTTCTAGGTTGGCATTTAATCTTCATGAAATGTGTTTGATTTTTTTCCAATTTAGATTGTATCCACTGTTCAGCATAAATATTTGATTTTCTAGGTGACTGTATTATTACTTCCCAGGTTGTAGCATAACATATATCCAGAAATGAAAATGTACTTAGATTTAGTACCTAGTGTCAAGTTCTAAGAATTTGTGTTTGAGTGAAAATAAAGAATATGCTGTGGAATAACACCTGTATGCATATTGACTCTTTTAAGCAAGTAATAAACTTCCTTTGAAATGCTGTTATTCTGAAATGACTTGAAACTTTTCATAGCTTCTGATACTAACTTAAAATATTCCTTAGTTTCTACAAATACTTGAGTAATTTTGGGTTGGGCACATTCATCACAATCCTGTAACTGGGCAACATTTCTCAGGTTCAGGTTAAACATCAGCCCTATAAACAAATAAACTGGCTATTCCACCTAAGTTTACTTTCTACCAAATCTTTTCTGCGTCTTGGTGTGCAGCCTGTGTATGTACCTTCATGTGGGTAGATCAGTGATAACACTGGGAATATATAGTGGTGGTAGCTAATCTGACAGTAAGTTAAATCTGAAATTCTTGTGTTGGTGGTCAGTTCATAATAGAACACACAAAAATGTCATTGTTCAAAATAGGTGCAGATTTCACTGCCTTGATGAAAAAGAGCCTGTGGGGATTTCTTGCAGAGCAGGGATACCTGAAGAGCTGAGTTCCTTACTGTTTATAGGTTTGGGGCTTTTTTGTATTCCATAGGCAGAGTATGTATTGGTAGGTATGATGTAGTACAATTTTAGATAATACTTGCTTTTAAGCCTTTATGCTGCAATAGCTTCACTGGGTTCATGTTTTGTAAGAGTAAATTCCCTCATGAAGCTGAGGAACAGAGAATGTTTGTGTATGGAAGTGGGCAGGTATGGGGAAGAAAGGGAAAATGTCATCTGTCTTACAGTAGTGTTCTACTTAATTATGCCACTGAAACCCAAAGTGCAACAAAGTGTTTTTGTTTGTATGGACGAGTAGTAATATTTCTCCTCTTCTTTTCCTGTAGGGTGCTGGAGATCTAGAAGATCCGTGGTAGCCTTACAAATCTACTAAAATGCTTTTGATTCTGAAAGGGGGAAAAAAACTTTTAAATCTGTTTTCTTCAATACAAGGGAAAAATTCTGGTGGATTTCCAACATTTTGTGAAATGGGCAGAAAGATATTAGAATTTTCCATCATTTGTTCATTTTTGTGTTTTCTGATATTGCCACTCTTAGCATTGCCTGTACTACAGTATTTTTACCAGCCTCAGGCACACTGATTACATCTGTAATGAACTTTGTCCCTATAAAGGAAGGAAGGAGTGATTCTCTCAGCAGATTGGTGTATGTACCTGAGGTGCATGGGATTGTAGGTGTACTCTGAAGATACACTAGGACTGAACGAGCTGTGCAACACACACACACATGAGAGAGTACCAGGAATGGTTTGAGACATGACTGACTCCACTTACCGAGTTGGAAGGCTTTGCAGCTCTGTGGCTTGGAAGCAATTTCAATTGGGCGGTACGCCCGATCTGATAAGATGTGTTTTGGGTTTTTTTAATTTTCCAGTTTTACCTGTATTACCAGACCGTTAGGTTTCCCTGCGGTGTCCAAATTGTGATACGTTGCCTACTGCTTGCTTGAAGATTAAGTGTATTTGGCATAATATATGAAGATTCTAGGCCTCTAAAAACAGTAAGAATTTTACGCATGTGTACAACACACCCTTAAAAACTCTTGCTAGAGAAGATCTTTTAAAACCAAACTGATAAATTTATAGTTAGTAGTGACTTGCTTTGACATCTCTCACAGCTGCAGGTTTTTTTAAAAATGCTGAAAATTTGCCTTTATTATAATGTAAATTGTTATTTTTTTGTTCTATATGTGGTTTTCTATAGTTTTTTGATTTTTTTTTTTTCAGCTTAAGATACAGACAGAAGTCTTGTGTAATATGGGTATAATTTTTAATTGTTTGCATTATTTTCAAAGTTCAAATTATCACTTTGAGATTACTATAAATACACTTAAAATTATCTATTTTAAATTAAGAAAATATTAGAGATATTTTCATGGGTTCAATGACCTTTCATTTTATAAGCAATGGGCATGGTACAGAGTGGCTGTCATGTAAGGTACTTGAAGATTCTTAGTTTAATTCTATTTTTGCAATAACCTTGACTTTTTTTCTGACTTCTTTGAGTTGTGCATGTAATGAGTCCAGTAAATGCTGAAAACGGGGAAGAGTAAAGTATTTATCTAAAATAAAAGCTATCGGGGAGGGGAAACAATGAATGTATCCATCTGTACATGATTTACATGCTGTGGATGCCTTGTAAACATTTTCCTATTTGTTTAAACTGTGTTTCAGCGAGGATGTAGTTGCCCTTGTGTGTAGTTTTAAGCTAATGACAGTCATCAACTGGTTTTGTGTGAAATGGAATTCATGGTATTTTTCTGTAACTTTATCCCCATGGTGAGTCTGTAAAATCCACACGCTCTCTCATACTGGTGCCCAAGCCAGCTTTCCCAATCGTTTTGATTCACTGTGTATCTAATTTTTTTTTTTTTTTTTT